CCCGAAGAACTACAGCCCAAAACCCGAAACCTGAAACTGAAAAACACAATCTAACAAGAAACATACTCTTCGATATTTTGGCTGTAACTTTTGTATCCGACCTCGGAATGAGGTGATTAAAGATTTGTTAGAAATCTGCTGAAGAGACCTACAACTTTGGTTTTTTACACTTTCTCAGATTCTAACTGTATCAGTGCATAAAATATAGAAACTCATAACTGGTCATTATTCTCAGATTTCTCTTTTGGTCTTTGTGCATGTTTTGCATATTTGCACTTATATATATTCACAAATATATATTAAATTGATCTCAAATCAATTCTTATCATATTCAAACATCAAAATATATTATTCTTCATCATATAATATATTTATCATTATTTATCATAAAATATTTAAATTTTTGGGGTTTTACAGGTTATCAATTATTTTTTCAACTACATTATAATAGTATAAATAGAATAATATATTAATAAATACTATTAAGAATTATACAATAATTCGTTGAGCAATAAAATAAATAGAATAACTTTTGAATCACATAAATAGTGTAATTATTTTAATAATGTAACAAAAATTACAAATTATACTATTTATTAAGCATTATATTATTAAATAAATTAAATAAATAATTTAATATTATTTTAGAGTACTTTCTCAAAGATTATTATATAATACTGAATAATCTATACTTGGTAATGATTGCAAACTAACCTTTTTACAAAAAATATTTAATATTAATAATATTACTATTAATTGTTAATGATAGAATAATAAAAATTTATAAAATATTTATAGTACTTAAAAAAAATTAAATTAGATAAATATTTTATAGTTTAATGTTGAACTAAGAATTATAATATTAAATAAGGTAAATTATAGTAAGCCGCCATGAACTTTCAACATTTTGTAGTAAATATACCATATGAACTTTCGAAATCACACTAAACTCTTAATAACTTTTGTAGGAAGTCACCAATATCTTTTAGATAAATTTCACCTAACGCCAAAAACTTTGAAAATGCCTTTTTATGGCACTTTTTGGTTCTAATTTATAGGGGTTATCTGCAAAATTTAGAACATTATTGCTGAAAGTTCATAAGGGTTTAATGTAATTTACCCTATTAAATGATTATAATGAGAACTAACTATTGTGATATGTGCTAGGTATCAAGTGTAACTATATAGGGAACATCCGGAAAAAGCTAGCAAAATTAATACATCTTTGAGTTAAGTTAATAATTTTCAACTTGGAGAGGCATATTTAAGAAAACTTATAAATTTGACAGTTTTATTTAAAAACAATTTTAGATTTAGGGACTTATTTAAAAAGAGGTTGCCACTAGGTGATCATTATTAAAAAAAATTTAATTACAATAACTACACAATAATAACTGATTCATATATTTTTTAAGTAATCTTATTATACAATTTTATTTATTGACACATAGTTTTACTATTCAATAAAAATAAATAAAACTCAAACCATGTACATTCACGTGCAAAGAGAAATTAGAACCTTTGATGTCTGATTTCTTGCTTATTTTCTTCAAAAATTTATTGTGAGTTTTTTTTTTAAATTTTGTTCGTACGTACGTGTTGTCTGTGACCTAGTTTATTGTGAATTCATAGTTGTTTATATGTTTGCTCGATCACTTATTGAATTTATATTGAGAAGGATTGATTATGAATTTTTATCTCTTAATTCTCTTTTAATGTGAGTTGCTTTAGGTGTGAAAGATTTGTTCGGGCAGTCTTGAAATGTGGAGGTTATTGGAGGAGAACAGAAAACAAAGCTCAAAGTTGATGGAGCTACGTACATCGGATTAGGATCCTCTACTAAGGCATAGTGTCTCCTAATATCTCCTAATGCATCTCCACCTTTCATTTTGTGCATAAGCACAAAATACGAGGAGATACTATGTAATGAAAGGTGGAGATGCGTTAGGAGATATTAGGAGGCACTATGTCTTAGTAGAAGATCCCAATCTACGTACATCATGAAATGTTTTCGATATGCGTACAAATGTAGCGCTATGGACGGTGGGAAGTGTTCCAGCATTATCAGCATTGGTTCTTGGCTCCTCCCCCAAGTTTTACTAGCAAGTTCAAAGTGATGAGAAGGTAAGATAATTGCTATTGAAACTGTTGAATAACTGATTCAAATTTGTTATTAGGTTGTTATTTTGTTAGTGGAGTTGTTGCTAATTAGTTTAGATTTTTATGGGATTAAGTTGTTTTGTAAGCCTATATAAAGGCACTTTTAGTTGATGAATTATATAGCAAAAAAAATTATCTCCTCATCTACTCTCTAATTTCCAACATGGTATCAGAGCTCCAAGTTTCTTGGGTTTGTGAGGATTTTAAAAAAAATATAGAGTGATGTCCTCTTCAAAAACGAGGAGAGGGGGGATAAAAACCCTAGCCCTAAAATCAATGGCGGAGGCGATGATGAAGAGCAAGGCAGCGGCTTTAACCGTCGCCGAGAGATGCAAAAGCATTTTGGGTGCAAATTCCCAAGCTCACCTCAACACCATCAAAGTCGACTCCAAAGGCAGCAAGAGTGAGATTCACACTTCGAAGGTGCACTATATTTTCAAGAGGGGAAAGCCTTACCTCTGGGTTCATGAAGGAGACTTGCATAATACCAACATAATCATTGATGAGCGAGGTTCTCTTTCTGTCAGCAATGTCGTTCCAGGTCCACTTACAGGTTTGCTCAAATCTATAAGAAAGCTGCCAGCTTGTGCTGCTTTAGCGGGTGACGTTATACCTCTTAAAAAATAAATTTTATTCTAGGAATCATGGTGAGATGTGCGCCATGGAGAGATTGAGAGAAGTGCTCCTTTAAGAAATGTTGGTGATTATGTGCGTCAACAAGATTGAGATGAGAAGTGCATCACAAAGTGGAGAGAAGTGCTCTATGAAGATTCAAGAGGAATGACAAGAAATTTTGAATCAAGGGGGAATGTTGAATAACTGATTCAAATTTGTTATTAGGTTGTTATTTTGTTAGTGGAGTTGTTGCTAATTAGTTTAGATTTTTATGGGATTAAGTTGTTTTGTAAGCCTATATAAAGGCACTTTTAGTTGATGAATTATATAGCAAAAAAAAATTATCTCATCATCTACTCTAATTTCCAACAGAAACGCAGAAAAGAGAAGAAGAAACTCGAACTTTTTTATTGCGACGAAAGATCCTCCTCCAAGAATAATTGTCCGATTCAATTCTAATAATTTAGGGAGAGGGAGAATGAGATCCTTGTCGAGGCATAAGTTTCTAGAGGATGACTTCGCACAAATATCGACTATTTAAAGAGAAGAGAACAAAATTTGAGACACAAATTTTTTAGATAATGAAGATGATGAAGCAGAACTTGAGAGATACAGTGATGATGACGGAGACGATTCTGATGTTGGGTTAGATGAGGAGCATTTACTACCTATCACTATGTCTTTAGTTAAGAGAAGAGAGAGCCTTGAACATGCTGACAGGATTTATATTGAAAATGAAGAAGTTGTTGACAATGAAGTTCACTCCTCAAATGATAGCAAAGATATTTTAGAAGAAGAAGATGAAGCCGAGGTAGCGGCTGAGGGTAATAATATGTTTGACACAAAATTTGAAGACCCTATGTTGGTCCGTGTGGCCAAATTTGCTAACGCAGATTAGCTAAAATATTGTATTAAACAATATTGGATTTTATAAAGCTTTGGCATCTTCGTGGTATGATTCTATGTTATTATTGATGCAGAGGAAGTTCACAAAGTTGGTGATGATAGAGGGTGGAGTATATTGAGCAAGGTTAATTATTCTGAACGGGCTTCATCCAAAACTTTCAAAGTCGGATAAAATTGGTTAGTTCTTTTTTTTTTTCCTTGTGATATTTGGAGTTTATATTTGTCTTGATTAGTAAAGACTTACTTGTTATTGATTCTTGTCCTTATTTAAGTGTGTGTTTTCCTGAATAATTTCTTCTCATGTTAGTTGGTTAATATCTGAAATAAATATTGTGCATGGAGTTCTTTGCTCCCCATATATCTTTTTGTTTCTCTCAACATATCCATCATTCAGGAACATAATCCTAAAAAACTAATACCAAATATAGCATTTTTTATGGTTTCAAATTTGGATTATTTCCATAGCTTCTCAAATCACACTTGTCTATTATTTTATAGTACACTGAACAATTATAATTCGTTGCAAATACAAGTATTATTATAGTCAATAATGTCAAAAAGTACCAGTCTACTTCTTTGATCACAATCATCCACCGTAAATGGTTATGATCCATCCCAAATGTTACACTTACCACATTGTTCATTATTTGAACCCGTTAACATTTTTGACGCAAGACTAATTAGTAGTTTGCTAAATAATAGATGGTTGTGATTAAGAAAGTGTGCTCTTTATTGCTTATTGACAACAAAGAGGATCCAAATGCCAAATTATAATTGTATTTCTCCATGTAATCCTACTTTCCCTCATGCAGTATCTGTATACAGCAAGCAGTTCCACAATGCGCTGCAAGTAAACAGAGACGACTACCTCTCTTGCAGCACGAACCCCCCCATCGCAATCTACACAACCGGTAACGACACAATACCCGTCGAGAGATATGGCCGTTACTTCTTCATCTGCAGTGTCCCTGCCCACTGCGCTGCCGGTGAAAGCGTGGATATTTGGGTCCCGAAGCTCGCTTCTCCGACACAATACCCGTCAACAACACCCCCACAGTTACAAACTTATCAAAGCATCGACCCCCCAACATAAAGTCTCAATTGCACTACAAAGGACCAAGATAAATCCCAAATTTGAAGTTTGATAAACTCATCCAAATCACCTCCTCAGCAACAGGCCCAATCAAGTTCAACCCAGGAAGACTTGTGTCAAGACCGGTCCTGCAATTTGAACTGAATAGACAACATAAAGAGTTGAATAACCAACACCACACTAAATTTCAATCCAGCTGAACACACTTGATCATACTCCCATAACATGCAACAAACGTACACAATTTGGAAAACATTAAAATGACAGCAGTTATACATTTGATTAACCAATAACATCTTTTCAAAGAAATCCAAAAATTGTCTCTTGGAACCAGTTAAGCTTTGACAACAGAAGGCACCATTGACTTGGGCTGCCCCAATACCCTTTACATATTCACACTCTGTATATATTGATACAATTGATGATGGGGCGTGTATATATCTAGTGCACATGATTTCTTAGCCTAAGCAACTTAAAGAATTGCTGATTTTCATATGATGAATGATCTAAAAGATACAAGGTCCTACTGGATTAGAAGACTATCAAGAAGGGGCTCAGTATGTACATCTCGACCAACTGATCTTTTATTCAGCCGTTGATCCCTGCAACAAAATATAACAGCTTCTTTGCATTATGAACTTCAATATAAATTCATGTAGCAAGAGATTATATATGTTCTGCCATGCTACCAGTCTAACAGTAATAGTACACATTGAACATGATTGGTAACGCAACATCTTCATGTTCAGAATAGACATGTGACAAAGAAGTGGAGAGTAGAAACCGTAGAATGAAACATAAATAAAAAATATTCATAAAAGTAAAGGTCAGTGGAAATGATATTTCACTTCAAGTACCATATTTGGGAATGTCGTGGACAGTCATGATGATCTCTTTCCAATCAACCATCATTCACAGGGAATTAGGTTGAAGTGAAGCATATAGTTTTCATATCTATGTTGGCTTAAGCACGTCCACAAGAAGTTGCAACACATACATGCAAACTAGGTGTTTCCCGAAAAGTCAAAAACACGGATTAATATGCCCCACTTACCTAGCACCAATATTAATATTATATAAAGAGAACCAAGAGAATATAACAAGGACAAATTTTCAAAAGAGACCTTTTTGATTTTTTATTTGTAAAAAACAACTCATTTTCAAAATATTTGTAAAAACCGACCTGGTTTCAGCCTCAGCGCTGAAACCAGGTCGGTTTTTGAAAAAAAGTTTCCGAAACTTCACGGGAGTTGAACTCCCGTGAAGTTTAGCAGCTTTTAATTAAGCTGCTAAACTTCACGGGAGTTCAACTCCCGTGAAGTTTCACAGTTAAAAAAAAAAAATTGAACTGTGAAACTTCACGGGAGTTGAACTCCCGTAAAGTTTAGCAGCTTAATTAAAAGTTGCTAAACTTCACGGGAGTTCAACTCCCGTGAAGTTTCGGAAATTTTTTTTCAAAAACCGACCTGGTTTCAGCGCTGAGGCTGAAACCAGGTCGGTTTTTGCAAATATCCTAGAAACAGGTCGTTTTTTACAAATAAAAGCTGAAATGGGACGGTTTTGAAAATTTGTCCAATATAACAATATACTGCCAGTCTGCATGAACTGAACCTAGAATGCTTATCAATCTCTCTCATGGGAGACCCTTGTCCGAATAGTATAGGAAGATGTCATTGCAGTAGTAGGAAACCTAGAGAAGATTGTTTAGTCATACATTGGAAGATTTTCTAATTGTAGTTTGTTTACCAAAAACAAACCTTCACTATCCCTTTCTACGATTAAGCTACTTTCCCAACGTAAAATAGCATCAGGGAAAAATTCCTAAAGGTTTTGTAATTATAGTTTGTTTACCATAGACAAACCTTGACTATCCCTTTCTATGATTAAGTCACTATCCTCTTTCTTGAAAACATACATATTGTGATACATGTGCGCGTGTGTCGCGCGTGAATACTTGGATGCGTGTTTGTCGTGCACACGTCTGTGTTCCAGCTGCAACAAGATTGTTAGTCTCATGTTGAAGCTTATGTAAGTTCAATCTTTGCTTTACTATAAAAATATCTTGACTATCTGACTTTGTAATAGTTAAGACCAGTCTATTCAAACAAATCTTGAAAGCGCTATCATGCTAGTCTATTCAAACAAATCTAAAAAATGTCATCATGCTAGGAGCCTGGGATACAAGGGAATAACGCACAATGCGTATGCTCTCAAGCATCTTAGTTCTCCTGGATTTTTGGGACTACAATTTTCATATATAGCTCATCTACAGCAAGTGCATCCAATGAAGCTTCAAAGTATTGTGGAAGAGACAATGACAATATCCAAATTCTAATAGCCATCTAACTATTTCACCACGTAACTAACTAATACCTGTGTAAAATTATCTGACTTATCTTATAAATAACACAGTGGAGAGTCGGCCAATAACCATCAGATTCTAGAAAATAATTCAATCCATATACCATATATAATGAGTATTTACATGGATATATATAAGAGGAAGGTAACCATGTTGGGCTTTTGGATGTTCATTATGAGGTGAGAGGTGCCCTCAGGAACAAGTGGAAGAAACCCCAGTTTTACTGTCTGAGAACATAACCATAAGTACTTTCTAGTGACGGAAGTATCAGGTGGTCTATACTTCTCTATCGTTTATATGCTATGTTAATACTAACAGATGCTTTACAATATCTCAATGAGAATAGACATCCTCATCCTCATATGCCTTAATTTTCAGTACTCTAGCTATTAGACAAATTTCCTAACTATGGGTGACCTTTTCCTTCAAATCTGCATTTTTATAGATGCCTAAGCTTTGCATAGGTCCCAATTTTGTATCCAATTCCAAGAACAGGAATGAAGAAGCAAACTATATAAAATAGCAGGTCTACATAGAAGAAAGGTCAATCACAATATATAGACATATCCTCATAAATTAATCCACAAATGCTAGGATGCAGATATTTTTTATAGTGATTTTTCTTGTTAAAAAAATTCAAACATGCATGGGCAAACGTCAAATACCCTGAATAAGACCAGAATCCCATTAATAATAATGTTACAGATTCAAAATTTGAATGGCCAGTTTTCTTTGTGGACTATATGAATTTGTAGCTGTATATGCATATATACATTATAAATTTTATAATAATTTTATATTCTAGAGAAGATATAATATGGGTGAAGGATCAAGACCTTACAGTCGATTGGAGCTCAACAGTATCTATATTGTCATTCTCCTGCAATTCCAACAAGTAGAGTTATTAGTTAAGGAAATTACACTTCTTTTTGGATGATAAAAGGTTTCACTTAAGGAAGTATAATTAACATAACCAAACGATTTCCTCCAAATATCTATATCTTAGTCAAGTACCTCGAGCAACAAATCCTTTCTAGTAATCAGACCGATAACGTGAGATGCACGAGGGACTACAAATATATGCCTTAGACCCAATTGTCGAAAAAGATTGTACACCTGTCACATAAGTGTGATGAGACAAGTTACAAAATGGCTAAACTCTTCATAAAATAACTACCAGATTATGGAAAAGCATATTCACCTTTGACAAAGACATATCTTCTGGCACAATATACGGGCATGGGTTCAGAAAGGGAGAAAGATCTAAGTACATCTCCTTTTCATCATCAGTCAAATGAATTTGATCTATAGACTTTCCTTTGCTTGTGGCAGGTTTCACAAAATCGCTAAGATTGTGCCTTTTAGGAGAAGATAAATGTTAGTAACTTCTTCAAACAATGTTACAAGATGAAGACTTTAAATGAAAATCACACACCTGTTGGATGCACCACGAATATCACAAGGAAACGGGCTATCTTGAAAATCTACCTTAGACTGTAGAAGAACCAATAAGTGACTGCATCACCAAATAGCAATAGTCAGCATTCCATTGCAAGATTTAACAATAAAAGCCTCCATATGCCAGAGAATACATTTCAATTAGGCAAGTCAACATTTCAAATAATAATAATAATAATAATAATAAAGATAAATATTTGACACACCTACGAAGTATGAGACCTATCACTAGTGTTTCACCATTTCGTCCATGATCTATCACCTGACTTCCGCATCAAAGAGAAATTGCTTACTAACAAGAAAATATTTATCATGAAAAAAGATAGCACTGTCGTCGTCACTCACTGGAAAACCATTGTGTGTGTTGCTCTGCAGAACTGATAGTATGTCTGCAACTTTGACAATACGAGAGAAGAACACAACCTTCCATGACATTAAAGAAACTTCTCAATAAGTTAACAACTAATTTAATAGAAACAACCATAGAATCCATTCAAAGGTCATTTTAGAAATATACCCTCTGATTCTTGCAAGCCTCTTTTGCTGTCATATTGCGCATATATTGTTTAGGCCGAGACTCAAGCAAAGGAATGCCCCTCAACTGGGCTTGCTCTTCATACAGACCCTCATTGAAAAAGTCACCAACAGCCTGTGAAAGGCTAGTTGTATTTCCATTTCGAGTACCAATATTTCAAAATGACTGGAAATGAATACATACCTTAGATATAAGAAGAACAAGCATGATTAAGGGTAAAAGCTTCAAGTTATTTGTGATCTCAACCATAATGACACATAAAGAAACAGTCATTCGCATAGAACCTCCAAGAAATGAAGCAGCACCAAGAAGAGCATAACTGGATACAAAGACCATGTACAACCATGTGAGTTTTAGTAAATAGTGTCTATTTCCTATCACATACAAGAGAAGTATAGAGACCAATAATCCAGGCACAACGAATAGGCTAAAGAGTAAAGAAGAAAATGAAAAATAGAAAACAGCTAAAAAATTGGGAGCAGGCAACAATTGACTTGTCTCTAATCTACTAAAAACAGATAGTATGACACAGGGTCATGGTGAAGGTTCGTAATACGGTGACAATGGTCTGGTGTAAGGTGACCAGTATTCGAAGCTTACAAAATAGCTTTCTGGATCCTTTTTTAGCTTTGTCCATGTTTCACTATTCTCATATCAATCTATAAATCTTTAAAATCGTTAAAACACCATTCATAAGAACTCCTAAGGTATTTGCAGAGCAGGTTGGTGCGATTCAAGTTGATTCCCATCTCATTTAACACCAGCCAGTAAGACTCCTGCAAATTTTGACTGTAATCACATCTAAAACTGATAATAATATAAAAGAACCAAGGTTACGAAAGCACAATGCGGCCTGGGCACCAGAGACTAGGTAGCACCTAGGCAGTTATCCCTTTTTTTAAGTTACAACAATTAACATATAAAAGCCAATATTATAGAAAGCACTAGGCACTGCTAGGCACTGGACTGACACCTAGGCGGATTTCTTTCTTTGTTTAAGTGGTGATGGAGAAGGTTTTTTTTTTGAAAGTCGGCGGAGGTGGAAGCGCTCATAGTTATTTGAGGTCGGATGAGGTTGGAGGATGTGGAGGCTACAACAGAGGAAATATGATTAAGACCTAAGCGCAGTCTGCATAAGCAGTCCATGCTTCCCTAGGCACTCCCAAGACCTAGGCGGCCAGTCTAGGTGCTACCTAGGCCTACGCGGCGCCTAGGCGAGCTAAGTGCCAGCTTTTTAAAACATTAACTGGAAGAAGCATAATCATAAATTCATAATCTTAGGCCCTATTTGCACTTCTCTTTAACAGATAACAATTAAAGAACATACATCAGTCTTTGGCTTTGGACACAAATATTTTCCATAAATGGCTATATTAAGTGTCACTTCCTCCTTTGTGATACTAGAACAAGTGTAATCATAACCTTAGGCCCTGTTTGCACTTTCTTTGACTGACAGCAACAAAAAAGCATTTACCATGTCTTGGTTCTGGCCACGTAAATGTTTAACACAAATGGCTATAATACGTGCCAGTGCCAATTTCTACTATATATTGAATGCAAATCTCTCTCTCAATACGAACGTTTGGTATAGCATCTCTCTCTCTCTCTCTCTCTCTCTCTCTCTGACTGACAGCAACAAAAAAACATTTACCATGTCTTGGATCTGGCCACGTAAATGTTTAACACAAATGGCTATATTATGTGCCAGTGCCAATTTCTACTATATATTGAATGCCAATCTCTCTCCCAATACGAATGTTTGGTATAGCATCTCTCTCTCTCTCTCTTCAACTACAAGCCTACAGTCTCCAGTTTAGCATCTTCAACTACAAGCCTACAATCACCTTAAGCAGCTCTGACACCACACTTTATGCACAACATATCCAATCCATCTCAAATAATTTGTTTTCTTCATCTCACCAATANNCCCCCCCCCCCCCCTCTTTTCAAATAAATAAACTTGTTCCTTATTAATGAAACACAGTCAACATTCTTTCAGTACCCATAATGATATGTTTCTTGATTACACACATTTTGATCTGGAATGTCTTGTAGCTATCTCATAAAATTGTACATATAACTTGAAGCTTATTCTAGTATTGTTATTAAACAAGTAAAGAATTTCATTTGTTAAGAACATAAAATCACAGTGATCAAGAAATTTCTAATAAACTAACTGCAATGTAGGTGAACAAGAGTACTAGGCAGCGAAGAAGAGAATGCCATTCAAAGGGATAGCGCAGAAGAGGATGAGCACTCACGTTCCCTCTTCAACATTAAGTCTGCTGTAAAATTTAACCACAAACATTCCAACAAGTCGGCCATAAGTTGAACCGATCATTATTCCGGGAACAAACTGACCAGCAGGAACAGCAGTTCCAAATGTCACTACTGCCAAGGAATAGAACATAACCTGAAAATACCATGCAAAACAAAAGAAAGTCGTTGCATGATGTACACCACCTTTAGAACAAATTCTGAATATCATTTAGTGTATTAGAACATTACATCATTAAGAAGGAATCAAATGAACTGAAATTTTATAACCACATTGCCCACACCATCATATGAATGCACATTCCTTCACAAAAATTTATACTAGTCATGAAATGGAAGCCACATGATCACTCTAAGAAAGCTGATCCCTTGAACATGGAAATTAACTGGATATTCCTGTCAGAACTTAATTATTCGTGCATAATATAAGATTAACTATCCCGAAAGCCACAAAAACTCATTAAACAATCAAGTAATCAACACTAGCTTTACCTTATACATGACAACATTAGTCTACCAAAGAGCATGGACCTTCAGATGCAATTGGAAACTATATAACATATTGCAGTTAAATACCAGCTTGCATACTCCAGAACAGAATTAAGGCTTTTGTAAACCTAAATGACTGGAGGCAACTTTGTTGCTTCTCAATCTTTCTATTTTTGTTTCTTCTTACTTTCCTCTACTATTTTTCTTCTTTCACATTATTAAATGATCAATTCTATCCATCTGATATCTAACTTTCATCGCTTTATGAATGTGTTCTCCTTGAAACTCCTCCGATAATTCTGCAAGTTATATGCACATGAATTTTTTTCATAATCAGGAAAATCTGTATAGTTATTCCTTGGACAAATTATTTTACATTTTATTTGCTAATGCATTTTAAGTCTTTGATAATTTATAAAAACTTCTGCTCATAAACAATGACAAATAATTGAGTGGAGCACAATAACATGCATCTTCTTATTAAGGTTGTTTAACGGGAGCAACATGTTGAAGTGCCAATTCAACTTTCAAAATATGAGATTTGCCATAAACAGTTACAAGAGAACGCAAGATAAGTGGAAAATTATTGGGCCAAAAACCCTTCATCAAAATAATATATGCAAGTACCATAGAAGATCTGTGCAAGACAAATTATCAAGTGAAATAAAATAAATTATCAATTACAAGAGTTGTTATGATTCATACCAAAAATGTGAGAAGGCTCTTAGCACTATACTCATGAAATGTCTTTGCACTAAATAAATTGCGTATAGCATCATCCTGCACAAAATTATATCTAAGTTGTTAGAAGCTAAAAAGAAAATTGGCACGCAAAAATATGTAGGAAAGAAGGGCCCAGAAGTTTTCAAAGTCAAAGAACCTGAGTATTAAAGAAAATGGTTGCCAAATCATTGTATTCCTTGTCCTTCGCACAAAAGAACTACACATGGAATAAAAAAATAAGCAAGGTCTTAGAAACGGAACAAAATTAGTAATAAGACAAGAAACAAAGAAAGCATGCAAACACACACATGTAAAATGTGTGTATGAGAGAGACTTGAGCTACAATCTACTAAAGTGAATGGGAGATTTTTTTTTTTTCCACCTAACTTTTCATCCTTTGGTTTTGTGATACACATTAATAATGTATTCCAGATGCGATGCGTGCCTTGATGTGTATCACACATTAGTATCAATCTCAAAGTAAAACCAATGGATAAAAGGTTAGGTGGAAAAGAGCTCATATCCATCCAGCTTAGCGCATTGTTAACATCCAAACCCCCCGCCGCCCCGCCACAGCACACACACATATGATCGTACCAAAGACATAGTTTTGTGGCTTGATAGTGAAGATGTCTATTGTCATCATCGCACTCCAGTCCAAACCACATGTGAAGTGATCCTACAACACATTTGAATGATTTGTGTGTATATATATATAGAGAGAGAGAGATGAAGTTAAGTGCAACTTAAGTGATAGCAAGTTTTTGTCCCACGCAAAGTTTATCCACTATATATTATATACTATATATATGTATATAATATAAATAATATATATTAATATTATATATTATATATATATAACGTGAGAAAAATGGGTAACATGGTACCCTAAGTGATCCTTGTAATTGATGTGACACATCTTTCCCATACATCACACGCTTGAGATGGAGCGCTCACCACTCAAGGTGTGATGTATGGACAAGATGGTCCACATCACTACACAGGATCCTTGGCCAAGTATATCCCGATATCCTCTATATATATATAGTATATATATATATATATATATATAGTTTATAAATATATATATAATAATTATATATATATATATAATATATATATACTTATAAATTCTTATGCACTTACAGTGGACGGCCTCTACTTACTGTTCCTGTACTCATTGATGTTGCCATTAGGATCATCGAGAGAGATGAAAGAGAGTAACTTATATATGATATATACTATATCTATATATAGAGCATGAGAGAGAGAGGAGAGAGAAATGTGGTATGACTTGGTACAGCACAAATTTTGTGCTTGGTAGTGAGGTGCAGCATCCCCTCTCCCTCATCTGCAAATGGAGGGGAACCAGCATTCAACAATGATTGAGGAGTGCAAGGGGATATCCAGCACATGAATGAGAAAGGGATGTTGACACTTCACTAGCCTAAGCACAATTTTGTTATGGCTTGGTATCCGGCAAGCATACCATCTTCTCTCTCTTCCTCTCCTCTCTTCTCTCTCCTCTCTTTCTTCTCCTCTCTCTATATAGTATATTACTAATATATATATATATATTAATATATAATATATATATATATATAATATAGATATTATATATATATATTAGTGTGTGTGTGTGTATACGTGTGTGAATAGATATATGGGTTTGATGGTTGTGAGTTGGTCGCTCATTTAGCAAAATAAGCTACTAAGAAATAGTGGGGTGGGTCCACACCTTTTGATGTGAAGTTTCAAGTGAGCCTTATCACATGGTTATCTCTTAGTAGCTCATTTAGCAAAATGAGTTGCCACCTCATACACATTATTTACTATATATATATATATACCGTGTGCATACACACACACACACATACACGTATGTATGTAAGTGTGCATGACTTGTAGTTCAGAGACTGATTAATTTAACATTTTTTATTAGAAATCAGAATTGCGGAAACAAGCACATGATGATGATGATCTCACATTTACAAAATTTCCATCTATTCCTGGTGGGCGAGGGCATTCAATGCCAGGATTAGTTTCTGGATTGGGGCATGGACTACATTTCCTCAGGAGTGGTAATCCGAATGAAATAGCTGAAGTTATAAAAGACAGAAGGCATACTTCAAATATCTGCACAAATAATTAAACAAGTTCACATATAAAAGATTATTGCTTTTTCAAAGATAATAAGCTTCTAGAAGTATTTACGAAGTAAAGAAGGAAGCCTAAAAAAATTTTATTTCTACACTAAATTCCATAAAATTGTTACATACCTTCACTCTGTTTCCTTTCTTATGCAAATATTTCCGACGCCAGCTAGTTATATAAAGAGTAAGCTGGTTAAATAAGGCTCCTGGAAAAAGAAAAAGGCACACCAGTAGAAGTCACTGAACTAATCTATTGCAACCTTAAATAGGGTACAAGACTGTAAGAATTTGACAAAGCCAGTGAAATATGTACCAAGAAGACCGCCAATAACACCAATAATGGCCATCGGGAGTAATTCCTGAAAAGAGTAATCCTCTTGACCACTATGAGGTTATTGTAAGAAAAGTTAGAACACAAATGAAAAGAAGCAAATTATTAGAACTAACTAAAGATTTGAAATACTAACTCTGAGATGTCCCAGATTATGAAACCCCCAGAACCAAAATGTCCACATTTCCCACTCTTGCACCAGTTCATTGCAGACCGTACAACAACAGCCACAACAGCAGATGTAAAGAAAACTCTCCACATAAGCTGACTTCTCCACCTTGAGAAAGATAAAGTCAATAGAATAAGACATCCATTCTCACGAGTCTAACATAATGAAATAAGTAATTCAACTCAGACAGAAAATGAGATTCTGGAACCAAGAGAAAGACTCTACACAAACTATACAAACCAGACTGAAAAGAACCTTTATGCTACAGGAGCCAGATATGTCGTTTCATCAAATTCTATTCATATTTCCTTGGTACATGGAGATGCGCTTGGAGATTAACAGGCATCATTTGCAGAAGTTTGCTAAGAATCACAAGAGTGATTGTAGCCCTCGCAATTTAAAAAAAAAGGAAGAAAGTGCTAAATGAATTCTCCTTTTCCTACAACTTTCCTACTATCCAGAATATCTGGGATAATGATACACAGATTATTAAAAAATTCAAAAAAAGCTGCTGCTCAGATATGTATGCATAATTGTAGGATTAGGAGATTTATAAGCATGCACAACTCAAAAACGATTCATAACAAATAAATAAATAAATAAATAAATCATTTACAGACACTCAATAAGGTAAACCCCATCAACTAGTGGTTCATTAGAAAGAACTTTCATTTCTAGACACTCTTTAAGGTAAACTGCATCAGCTAAGTTTACCCCAACAATCATCGCCTCTAGCTTTAGGTTTTAGGATAGTCTTATCGTCACCTTAATCACTCCCTAATCAACCCCCTCTCTCTTAATCACTACTTAACTCGTCTCTTTTATCTCATACTTCTCTGTAGTCCTCTATCCCTAACCATGCCCACCTCTTCTCTACGCCCCATCTCCCATTCTTTCAAATTCACCTTTCGGCCTATCTTCATATGAATCTCTAACTCGTCCTTCTACCTAACCCTGCCTCATAAATTAGCCCAGCTCATCACCAGTAATTCAACAAACCCATCCTTTTTTTTTTTATGGAATCTCCATATATTCTACTGGCCATCTTGCAAGGGATTGATAAAAGAAAAAGTAGTTTATTGAGTGCCTCTTAAAAGATTATGTTTTTTAACCAAATTAAAAATGAGTTGAGAAATTGAATCAATATGTCCTGAGAATCAACTAAATAATAATGTGATCTGTATTCTTTAACAAATGAAGTTGTTCTTACTTTATTTTAAAATAGAGGGTGGATAAGATCATTTCCCATAGATCTCAACAAAGGTAGTTATGCCCTACTAGAAGTCTACACGCACTGGCTTACACATATTCCACGCACGTAGACACATACTAGTTAAATTGCACGTGCATGATGCACATGACGAAAAAGACCATTACAGTGTAGTTGTAAGAGATTTATTACAAAATACTTCATCCAAAAAAAGTAATATTCGTACTATTAAGAGACATTCTTAAATAAAGAAAACATTAGAGCTTTGTTGGAGCGAGATATATAGAACAACTTTGGCACAATATTATTCCATATAATTTATTTATTTATTTATTAATAAGTTTAAAGCAATGTCATGCATTTTTTATACCTTATTTATGTGGCAAGGAAAAAATTTACTTCTTTAATTTTGTACCTTTATTTCCACGTTTCTATATCTTCTAAATATCATTAATCTAAATGCCAAAAGACTCTTTCATGATTCTTTTCATAACTTCTCTTTAACCAACCTCGACCATTACAGCTACTTTTTAATTGGTTGTATTTCAGGATGTAATACTGCTAATACTGCTCTGAATCCATCACTTTTTGTTTTCACAATCTCCTATATTCAAGATCTTATTTGTAGTTTTGGATGTAAATATCAACTGTTTGTAGGTTTGGTTGCAAAGAATTTGTAGGTTTTAGTTTTATTGATTGTGAGAGAAAGGGATAATGAAGTGCATTTAATAAGGGAAGGATGTGGACAAATGTCCGTTTCTTCAAAATTTTATTAAAATATACCAATCACTGGAGAAAACGTATCTAAACCGAATAGTCGACCAATAGATCGTTTCAATTCGGTTTGGAGTAAAATTCTTTGTATCTAATTGAATTTCGCTTTTCAGAATCATTCTTTTGATTCAGTTTGTATCAACTTGTATTTTGGTTTTCAGATTCACCACCTAGAAATCAAAAACCAAGTAACATTTTTCTCAGTATAAAGATCTCAAACATAGTTGCATATGCCCTATCTACTCTATTAATGGGTTGAGACAAATTTACAGATGGATTTCAAGAGACCTCTCTAATATCTTTTTTCTCCATTAAAAAAAATCTCCTCTCCTTGCCACTCTGACCTGAATCAAAGTACCAAGCACCAATGTTATCCTGATCTCCTTTTCCCCTCACTACCTCAAACCATCCCCACTATACATAAAAATTCCTCTCCAATGTGATATTCTAGTGACCTTGCAAGGAGGGAGGAACTAGCTTAAAGTGAGGAGGCTGGTGAGCCGCTATAGACAGAAGTCTTCCCTCTCATTTTCCTCTTAGATTTGTTTCGCTCCAGTTGCTGCAGTGTGAAAAAGAATAGTTTAGGTGTACATGAGGTTCATTCTTCTGGTATTGTTGGTTACTTGGATCTGGGAATTGATCCAATTTGGTGTTAAGACAAAGAATGTCATAATCATTTCACTGTAGTCTATAACACTACTTGATTGAATTTTCTTATTGGAGTTGTTAATACAAAGAATGTTATAATCAGGTGTTTTACAACTTGGTATAAGTGGAATTTAAATTTGACAGATTATTATCTTTGGATTGTTCTTCTATGAAATTGTTAGTGCTTTTAAGATTTCATACTCTGGACCTGTTAGTGTAAGTTCTATTTTAAGCAATATTTTACCTTCGGGTGTCTTGTTTCCTCCTGATCTGGTCCAATCTACTGGGGCTTCAAAATATTTATTATGAATTATACATTTTGTTGGGTCGGCTAGAAATTTAGTGAACTGACCAAACAAATTTTGTTTTATTCAAACTCAGTTCTGAGCCTAGTTTGACTTAGTTAGATGATCAGTTTTGAAAAGGAAATTCTGTTCAATTCCATTTTGCGACGAACATATAAATCCAAGCCAAACTGACCGACTGTGTAGCCCTGACCAACATAGAATGGACTGAATACCTTGATATGAATGGAGAAACTAAAGAACAAAACAGTTTCAACAGAAGCACAGATAACGGAATAAAAATTTGAACTGACATATCATGATTTACAGATCAAAGTCGCCATGTGAAGGAAGAGAATACCCTACCCTATCTTCACCCGACACTACCGACTAAGTCATAAAAGATAAAATATGCACAAATTGATCCTCTTAATCAAAAAATGCAGGGTGGTTTTTCATGTAAATGTTGTGTATAAAGAAATTAATTACGCCTCCTTACCAGGATGTAACTTCTTCCAATGCAAAGAGTACACCTCCAACAGGAGCTCTAAAAGCAGCAGCAACACCAGCTGCACAGCCACATGTTACCTTTAAACGATGGAAGGAGTTAATAAAAATTGTAGCTTAGACGGAAGATTGAAAAAATGAATAACATAAATAAGCACGATGATAAACACAAAACCGGTGTATTCACGCGAGTATATAAAAATGAAAAAGTGATGTTCCCTCCTAAACAATCCATTAACTTGCATCATTGCCCATGTGCCATGTCAAATATCTACCTTCACATTCCCGCTCACTGTAATCTAGAAACCAATGGATTAGTTCTTACATAATAGCCAAAGCTATTTTCTTAATTCTTTTATCGTCACAAGTCCTAAATCTCACTTAACAACACCTCTTACTAGAATAACTCAAAAAATTTAACCTCTATACTTAGCATTTGTATTACATTAACCCTATTTCTTGTTGGAGGCATAATGGCATGCATTATTGGACTATTTTACCCTCCTATCTTCACTTTACTAATGATCATTAACCATAAATGTTATCAATACTAATCTAACTTAAATTAACCCACAATTCAAATTTTTTATCCTATACAATTTAGACCGCAGATATAACGTTTATATTGGTTCATTACCAATTCTTTCTCTTTCTAACTAGCAGCCTCCTCCAATCATGGATCATATTCTTAACCTAAACACATGCTAACCAGTCATCACATCATCCTCCAATTAATTAATGCCCAACCATAGAGAAATTTTGAACATTTTCTTTCCTATCTTCCTTGTCAAATATTACAACAACAAAAGGAGCAAAAAGAATATCAATAGTCGATCTGAATAGAACGATTTCTTAGTTAAGAGATGGAAAATGGAAAGAAAAAAGTGCAGGAAGATTAGACGGCTATTTAGATTGATTAAGGTTCAATAAAACACTTCTGATTTGAGGTGATAAAAGTTGTCATATGCCTTCAGAAGCCTAAAACTTAGGGAGGGTTATTGATCATTTTTAAGTTTAGGAAGTTTACGCGTCTCTAGTGAGAAGCTAATGGTGGTTTATTGAAATTTTCCCCATTGATAAATAAATACAAATATTAGTAGCTATAGGCCCATTAATTTCCAAATGCATTTTGTTTTTTGAAAAGGTTGTTCACACATTCTGTTGTAGAAACATAGGGTGTTGCTACAAGGACCCAAATAGGGGACCCAAGGCATGAGACAGGTGAGGTGTCACTATCCGGTTGCATGATGCACTGTTCATGAATAGTGTATCATACAACCGGATGGTGACACCTCACATGTCCCATGCCTTAGGTCCCCTATTTGGGTCCCTGAGGCATTAATGAGAAACATATGTTCTTTACATTATAATAATAGCACATGCATTAGAGGACTAAAAATAGTCATTGAATAATATGATCTAACCCATATCAAAGAACTAATAAAAAGTATAATCATGTTGAGGGATATGATCGACAGTTAAGGTCACTGACAAGTTGATCCAGATCTTTATTTTTCACTTTCTTGGTTTTGATGTAGGCTTGGGTTGATTGTTGTATCTATTAAATGATTTATCTAAATTATTGTAGAAATTAACATAATCTCACTTCTCACAACCCAAATGAACTTAGCTTAGATGGCATCATCTTACTTTTAGGAGGTGAGCTTGATCTCTCCATCTGCAGCAAGCAAGGGGATTCCCGAACTAATATGTAAGGATGCATCAACACAAACTAATTACAAAAACCAAAGTCTATGATGCATGAAGAAAACATGTCATGATTTCATGAAGGCTCATCATCATTAATATGTTCAACAAAAGTTCTTTCCCTCCATGGTCTCCCTTCATGAGAGCTCTGCCCATGTCCAGGTTTATTTGGTTAAATAAGGTCCACTAAGTAAAGTGGCGGTGACTATAACTTTAGTAAACTGCGTGGTTACTGATCTCTCAGTTTTAAGGTTTTTAGCTGTGTTAGCTGTGTTTAGTAAGAATTAAATTTGACTTATGTTTTTAAACTTGCACATAAAATGACTATAAGTAGCACTAGTTTAGAAGATCGTAAGCCCCAAATTATTGAGTTTCTTTAAATGAGATTAATCTCTTACCTCTCTCCTTTCTCCTCTACCTATGACATTGAAAAAAAAAATCATATGTTTTCCCACTTCAAAAAACAAACAAAGAGTTTCTTTGCAATCCCTAATATTTGGATGCATAACAAGTCTCACTCCGAATGTGATGAAACAATCACCGAGGGCAACTTGGTTTAACATTAGCAAGAACCTATACCTAATAGAAGTTGGAACAATTAAAAAGTACAAAGAAGTACACAAGAATAATATGAGCACAATTCAGGTCCATTATTGTCATTTGTACTTATAAATCCAAACATAAATAAAACACTAGCATCTGCATCTCATATAGCTTAAGGTTAATATGTAGCAATCATCCAGCAGCAGAGCCAGAAAAGTTCTTCAAGAAGGCTGAATATCACTATCGAAAACATAATATAAAAACATAATATCATACAATAATCAATAAAAATAAGAAACATGCCAACAAACTAAATTTTAAAATTCTACGCATGTTCTTATTCTTCCCTTAATTAAATTTCTTTTGTTAATTGGTATCTAATAAGAAGATAGACTAAAAATCACGATTCTATGTAAATCATAAATGTTTTTGAAGAACATAAAAATTGAAGAAACAATTCCTTTTCAGCAAAAGATATGATCAAAAATAGCATAAATCACATTAAAAATACAAAACTCAATAAACTACTATTTTGAAAGAGTAAAGATTAGGGGGGATCAATGGATTGAAATGCTTGATGAAAAAATTTGTTAAATTAAACCCAAATTGTTAAACAAAATTCTTGTTTATATAACATGCTAAAAGGTCACTAAAATTAATGTCTCGCTTAGTACACGAGAACCGGATCAAGTGAGAATGGAATGAAGCAAAGAATGGAATGGAATGATGAAAATGTAATGCTCATTCCATTCTCATGTTTGGGTGCATTTAGAGAATAAAGTGGGAATGAAAATCTTTTTATTTTAGTACAGGTAACTATTAAAAAATATTAACATATTTGGTATTTAATTTAATTTTTCATTCTCATTTAAGTGGGAATACTCATTTCCTACCAACTCATTGGAAAAGACCATTTCTGCAAAATTTCTGCAAAAAGTGGGAATGACCATTTCCGCGTAAAAAAGAGAAAAGAATTCGTGTTTGGTATGCATGAATGAGAAATGGGAATGAGCATTCTATTCTCACCAATTCCCGCATACCAGACGAGACCTAAAAGTTACTATTTGCTAATAACATGCAAAGAAAAACAGAGATGAGTAATTACAATATTGAGGGATTGCAAAAGTGCAAAGATGATCATTGTTTCTCTTTGATTCTTCTCTTAGTTCTCTGTTATTCCAATCTTTTATTTTATTCATAAAACTTTCAATGAGAGTAAGAAAAGGACGCCTGAGGCTCAACATAAATGTTTTTGAAGAACATAAAAATTGAAGAAACAATTCCTTTTTAGGAAAAGATATGATAAAAAATAGCATAAATCACATTAAAAATACAAAACTCAATAAACTACTATTTTGAAAGAGTAAAGATTAGAGGGGGAATCAATGGATTGAAATGCTTGATGACAAAATTTGTTAAATTAAACCCAAATTGTTAAAACAAAATTCTTGTTTCTATAACATGCTAAAAGGTCACTAAAACTAATGTCTGGTTTAGTACACGAGAACTGGATCAAGTGAGAATGGAATGAAGCAAGGAATGGAATGGAATGATGAAAATATAATGCTCATTCCATTCTCATGTTTGGGTGCATTTAGAGAATAAAGTGGGAATGAAAATCTTTTTATTTTAGTACAGGTAACTATTAAAAAAAATTTAACATATTTGGTATTTAATTTAATTTTTTTTATTCTCATTTAAGTGGGAATACTCATTTCCTACCAACTCATTGGGAATGACAATTTCTGCAAAAAATGGGAATGACCATTTCCGCGTAAAAAGGAGAAAAAAGAATTTGTGTTTGGTATGCATGAATGAGAAATGAGAATGAGCATTCTATTCTCACCAATTCTTGCATACCAGACGAGACCTAAAAGTTACTATTTGCTAACAACATGCAAAGAAAAACAAAGATGAGTAATTACAAGATTTGAGGGTTTGCAAAAGTGCAAAGATGATCGTTGTTTCTCTTTGATTCTTCTCTTAGTTCTCTGTTATTCCAATCTTCTATTTTATTCATAAAATTTTCAATGAGTGAGAAAAGGACGCCTGAGGCTCTTGTTCTCCTGCCAGAACAAAATTTATGCTAATTCCTCATATTCCTAATATGTTATATATGAGAAGATGATATCCCTTCACTTATTTCACCGGTCCTAGTTATTCAAATTCTAGTTAATATTTACACCCAAATTAGGTGGTTTGCACCACGAATTAAAGAGCTGAAATTTCCAAACTAGCCTCCTAACTTCCTGTGAATGGTATAGATCATCCATTTATAGGGTGTTCTGATAGACTCTGCACCCATCTACCCCTTATACTATTGAAAAGAATCATAGTAGTCATGAGTTCCGAATCAAATCAAGCATTCGATAGGCAAGTTGAGGGTTTATATCACAAACATTTAAAAACATATAATATTGACTAACACCTATGTGTTGTGGCATGTCTCCTGAAAAGAATGTCATATGATTATCAAATGGAGACAAAGTAAATTTCATGGTTATAATTAGTGGGGCATTTACATATAAGATGAAGTAGTTTCTTTACAGGGTACAAACATGATAATAGAGATTTGATAATAGTAAGAAATTAAGAATAACAATGGATGTGGTATCCAGAGTTGCATTGCATCTAATCTTACTAAGAGCTATTAATTAAAAAAAGTGCATGTGAGAAGTATCAGATTTGGTGATGGAATCTCATGGTAGCTGACAATGTATATTGAAGATTTTACATATTGAAGATTTTACCAACCCTACTAGACTAAGAAACTTGATATCATGATTTGCACAATTGCATTAGGAAGCAAACATTAGCGTAAAACCCAATAGGATCTCCACGAAAACAGATACATTAAAATGGATATAAATGCATCTTCGAAAAATTATTGAACTAGCGTAAGACAATGTTTGCATGGATAAAACATAATCTCACCACAATTTCACGTATATTTGCTCAATAACTACAATATTTTCTCTACACTTATTACAAATACACACATGTATTGGATACCAAAACAGTTTGTTGCACACAATTGCATACTTACAGGCATTAAAACATGAACTAAAACAATTTTCTTCATATTTGTGCCATAAGTGCATTAATTTCTCAGTTTATTCACAAGATGAAGTGCGCAAATACAATTTCTCAGTTTATTCACAAAGGTACATCCAAATATATGCATAGGCACACAAAGAAAACTAAGAAAAATCCAACATAGAGATTGCAAATAAATAAGAAAAATCCATACTTCACAGACAGGTTCAAGAAACTCACAAGGTCTCGGCGATCTCGATCACTTTCGAAAACTTGCAACCACCTCGAGTTTAAGTGATATTTTGTCGATCCCCCCTACTTATATCAAATTATATGGGTTAACCATGTAGATAAAACATATAATAGTATGAAATTGAGCTAAATTAGCCTTTTACACAATTTATCAAATATAATGCATTAGGTTGCAGGGAAAAAATGTCTGCAATCAAAACACGGTATAAAAAGATAATTAAAAAAAACAATAGCAAACATGATAAAAATCATTGATGGAACTTGATCATACGTGGATTCTAGAATGGAACTCTAACTAAATTTTGAAAATGATAGAATTACTATAGCTATCTCCAAGTAAAATAAAAGGATAAATTTATAGCTAAAAAGTGCTAACTTATTGGTTAAGTGGTAAAGTGGTCCTATAGTTACATACAGGGTTATCGAGGCGGGCGTGCCTGCACGAGGCGTTGCGGCCTTTTTTAGTTTTTCTCTTTTCTTATTTTCTTCTTTTTTCTTTTTGAAAATAATTTATATGATTACATATTTACATCATGTAATAGACTATTTTTTTCATATTAGACTCTTTTTGAGAATTTTTGTTTAGAACTTTTGTGAGGCGCGCGTCTCGTTGTGCGTCTTGCGCATGGTGCGCGTAAGGGACCTTCGCGCCCCACATTGCGCCTTGCGCTTCGATAACATTGGTTACATATCCAACTAGATACATATTTATGAAATATCAAACCGAATTCAATCATTCTACACGCTTTGGAATAAAACAAGTAGATTTTCAATTGTTTGGACAGTTACTATTTTGTTACGCACTCCTTTATTACTATTTTTCTTCTTCTGTTTTCTCTATTAGGTGGGAGGAGAGACGTTAGCTTGGGTTTTCTAATTTTTATTTTGGGAGGGGGGTTGGAAATAGATGTGGAAAAACAACCGTTTATATTATTTATCTGTATAGCGACTATATCCTTTCCAATGGCACAATTACAAGTAGAGATTGATATTAGAATAACAAATTTCAAATGGAAGCACTCTGGCAGCGCCATCAGATCAACATCACAAGTAATCTTTCTTAATGAGTTTGCTATGAACCTCACTTTCGTGCACTTTGAAGTATAGAAGTGTTACTTTGGTGCACTTTGAAGTATAATGGTGACTATACTTATTCTATCTCCTATGAAGCTTACTCTATCTGGTATAAGGCTTATGTTTGCACTTTGTGCATCAAACTTCAAACATATAACAACCTATAACTACTTTGAAGTATTGCGGTGACTATAAATATCTCCTATGAAGCTGACTCTATTTGGTAATTAGTATAAGGTTTATGTTTGCGCTTCGTGCATCAAACTTCAAAACATAAAAACTATCATAGTGCGACCTTGTATATCTTTGCTTAACATCACCCTCCAAGTGATATAAGGGATTAACAAATTCACCTCCTAAAACTTAGGATTGACTTATTCACTTTCATTGCGTAGTGCCCATCTTTGTACCAAGACATCTCTTATGTCTACTTCCCAATCGCTATCTAACACACCAGCAACTACATGAAGTTTTACTATTGACAAGCCTTATGTCCACTTTCTCCAGTTATCATTAAAAAAAATTAAACAAATATTGTTCATCTTCTAAAGTTGTAAACTATCTTTATGTTAGGGTTAATTGCGGATAGACCCTCTGTACTATCGCCAAATTGTGGATAGACCCCCTATACTTCTTGTAGATATAAATCCCCTCGATTCTCAAGTCCATAAGTTTCATGTTAAGATTGGGCTTCATAAACTGAAATGCATGAGATTCATAAATAAATTCAATTACTATAAACATGCATAATGATCATTGCATATAACTAATTAAGATGAAAAACCAATAAGGTTGTCCAAGAGGTTTATTTACAACAATAGAAGCAGAGGGGTCCACCCGCAATTTGATGATATTACAATGGTCTATCCACAATTAACCCTTCATATTATATATGTCGAAACACAAACAATATAACTTTTAGTGAAAAATGTGAAGCAAATTTTTTATAAGTTGTAACTCTTTTAAGCTTACACCTTCCCTTTGAAGCTTATGTATCATTTTACTTCAGAATCAAGTTGTTCACTTAGGACTATAATTTTTGAGACATTAGTTGTAATACATGGTTTCTATTAAGTAATGTGGAGTAAAAATGGCCTAGTGTTGCAGCTCATTTGTATCAGAGCTAGTGTTACTTCCCAAAATAATATGAACCGTTCCCGGGATCAAGACTTCAATCAGTGGTGGATCCCCAAAAAAATTCTTGGGATGTGGACAACAAATACCTATTTATTTATCTAAAACTAGAAATGTAATGTAATGGGTTTGGGTTTTGTGTTACTTATGGATTTTGAATTTTAGACTTTTGACTTTATAGTGTAGATTTGGGCTTTCAAAGTTTGGGCTCATATGATTTTATTGTTGGATATTTAAATAAGCCTTTACTTTATAATAATAGGCTAATTCAAAATTTGCTACTAGTTTCTTTAATAACTTATAAATGGGTTAGGGTGTAATTTTTAAATTTTCTTTTTTTGGGTAAGGAGAGGGGCAGATGAAAATTTCGCTAGTGTTCATTGCTATTAATAAAAAATTTAGGGGTGCAACTGCACCCTAGGGCATATGTAAACCACTTCTGAGTTCATGATCTTAAAAGAAGACTAGATTTGCTCGAGATTGAGTCATTAGCTTTTACTGAGTTATGTTACATTGGCTTAGTTGAGTCTATATTTCATTTAAAATGATCCAATATATTGTTGACCATTAAGACTTTACGTATTCGTCTAGATAATTAGGACTAATACAAGAGTAATTTTAAACCAGTAAAACCTATATTGCCCATTAAGTCTGTAGACAAAGAAAAAGCAAAGTTCTTATTCATCTAACATTAACTTCTCTTAAGTAGATACTAGGGGAATATTACAAAATAGGTATATGATAAAATCATACCTAACCACATCTCACAATATCTTAATAACATCTCATAATATCTGCTAATATCTACCAATACTATTAATATCTAACACTCCTCAAACTGGAGCATATATACTATATATGTCCAGCTTATTACAGATAGCAACAAAAAAAGTGTTACATTTGCATAGGATACTTAAAGACGTCATCACTCAAAAGTGTGGTTGCAATCAGAGAATATCGAAGCCAAAAGAAACACAGATCACAAGCAAATTCTCGTTTATGTGATCAATGGACAATTAGAAGAAATCCTATGTCGATCAGCTAATAGTAGGTGGGCTAGCCAATGTTCTAAAAAGCGACCTAAGAGGATGCCTAGGCATAGGCCGAACTCCAGCCACCTAGGCGCCGCCTAACTTTTAAAAACAAAAATATAAAATAAAAACTCTGCTATTTGCCCAACCCAAGCCTATTAGAAAACAAAGAAAATGATTTTTATTGTTTTTACCCAGCCTATAAACCCAAACCTGATCCGCTAAACTTAAAACTCAAACCCCCTCTCTCATATTTTCCCCCCAATTCCCAAACCCTAACACCCATAGCCACCACTTCTCTCACCTCCTCTCTCGCCGAACTCAACCAGGCGACCGCCTCCTCCTCTCGAAGAACACCCACAACCACCTCAACCTCTAACCTTCTCTCGATGAATCCCGCACGCAGCCACCACCATCACAACTACCACCTCCTCACTTCGCATGCAACCACCTCAACCTCTTCCTCTTCGCACCACCGTCGCCACCTCTAACAGCTCAACCTCCTCTTCTCTTCAAGGTAAATTTTTAAATTTTCACCTTTTTTTATTTTTTTACTATTTTTTATTTTGTTAATTAGTTAATCTTGTTCAATTTTACTTTAATTTTATATGAGGTAAGATTGCTATTTAGTTTTTTTTGCAATTTTCTATTAATTTAATTCATGTTTTCGTCAATTATTATAATTATTTAATTTTAAAAATAGTTAAATGCCCAGTTCACAATTTAAAAAATAGTCAAACGCCTAGTTCACCTAGCGCTTTCTATAACATTGAGGTCAGCTAATAAAAACCATAGGCAGGTTAGCCAGTAGAAACCATAGGCGGGGTCGCCTAGTAGAAACCATAGGCGAATCACCTAGAAGAAACTAGTTACCTAGAACAAACTGTAAGTGAGTCGGCTAATAGAAATCCTAAATGGGTCAATCAATAGAAACTACAAGTGGGTCACCTAGAAAAAGCTAAAGGAGGGTCACCAAAAGAAACTATAGCTAGGTCACCCAGTATAAATCCTAAGCGGGTCAATCAATGGAAGCAATGTCGGAATCCAACTATTAAAAGAGGACCATTGCAAATCATTGCCAGAAGATGTCATTGGAGTTACTTAGGTTAATTGTTCACTTGGTGAGCAACTTTGACTATTGTTCATGATGTACAGTAACTTTGGCTATTGTTTACGCGATGAACAACAATAAGCCATACCTTTTTGTTGAAGTTAGGATTTTTTTTATGGAGTGTTTTTATGAAGATCTAGAAATCAATGATGTTGAAGCCAAAGTTGTCGTCGAAGCCGCTAAGGAAAAACATAGAGATAATAAAATCCCTCAGCGGCTCCAAGATCTAGAAAAAGCTGAGTTCTCTAGGATCAAGAACTAGGCTTTGATACCATGTAGAGTATAATAAGCAAAATTATTACTCATCTAATCTTAACCTTTCTTAAATATAGATTAGGAGAATATTATAAAATAGATATATGATAAAATCATATCTAATCACATCTCCAAATCTCTCTACAATATCTCATAATATCTACAACTACCTACCAATACTTATAATATCTAACAAAGCCTTTAGGCAGATAAAATTTCACTAGGGTCCATTAAGTCCAAATACAAGAGTATTTGGTGAACCTATAGAACCATATTTCTCTTCCAGCATATTGTGTCAAAAGGCCAAAAAACCTTCAGATCTAGAGAAGAGAGTGGCTTGATAATTATGATGTACAGTTCACTGAAAAATAGCAGGCCAGAATGTAATATAAGCAAAAAAATCACATTTACCAGAGAAAATCATGTAAGAATGTCTTCTTTTAATAGATTAATAAGAAGCATGTAATTTGAATTAAACTGGTTCAAGAAACTCCAACTTCATATAGAAACTAAGTAGAATCTTCCTAAAAGTATTGATTGTAGAATAGAGTTGCACAAAAATTTTCGTATCCAAGGAAATATCTGTATCCATATCCGTTATGTAGTGACATATCTGGATCCATATCCGAATAGGCGAATACATCTTGGTCATACACTCATACTATTGTAATAGTTTTAGTTTTAATCCTTAGAACATTCGATTTAAAGTTAATTTTGATGATCCAGATATCTAATCTTAGTTTTTCAGATATAATGAATATATTAATGAACTCTCTTACCTCACATGAACTATATACTTTTTCCAATATTATCTAGTTTTCTCATATCCATTTTGTATCCGCATGCATATCCATTTATATATCCGCATGCATATCCGTATCAGATTTTAGCATGTATGGATAAAAAAATTTCATACCGAAACATATCGATATCTGTATCTGTATCAGTGACTGGTAAGATGATATGGATTGGTATCATATCTGAGCGTATCCACACCAAATGCACCCCTATCATAGAAGCACTAAACTGAAATGGGTAGTGTACTTCATTCTCAGAATTATTAACATCAGGCACCAAACATCAAAAATTAATTGTCGTCTACAGAATCTGAGTTAATTTATTCTTAAATAATGATTGCACAAACAGTAAGCTAGTAACATGAGGGTTTTTTTTCTTTTCTTTCGTGGATTATCAACCTTCTATATTTAACAATGACAAATAGTACAAACAGAAGAGAAAGTGGGAGGATTATGTCTTTATATAAGCAATGGTGATAATCAACAACATGAAACAGACTGCAATTTTTCAATTTCCTTTTTCACTCTTACAGAACGAATGGCAACCATGAAATTATGATTCAAATACTCAAAAGCCGTCTCTTGGTCGCCTTGGACAATCAATGCATGGACCTTAAGAATTTGAAAATAGAATGGAACATTCAAAATATTAAACTAAAAACTTAAAAATGGTTGCAGCTCATAAAATGGGGACTGCAGGGGTACCTGTCCAAGAAGGGAAGCAATGCAGGCACCAGTGTGAACAAGGGGACCTTCTTTGCCAAGAGCAAGTCCACCCCCCACTGAACCAATGCTTCCAAATATCTGCTCATAAACAGAATTTAAAAATGCAATGTCAGGAATAAATGGAAATCACATTTCAGCATACTGCTAGGAGAAGGATATAGGGACAAACTTTTCCAATCAATGTTCTTAAGAGGAGAATCCCATGTGTATCAACTCCTGCACATTTGCTTAAACACATTACCATCTCAACAAAGGAAAATATTACTGGTGTGCATGAGAATATGAGGCACATACCATTTAAGTACCCTTTAATTTCAGGAATACCAGATCCAGCTGCTGCTGGTGCAAATTGTGTGATGATGTATACAGAAGAAAAGACCAAAGCTAGATTGAACATAACAAACACCAAGAAACCCGCAAAGTAAGAATGCTGTATAATAGAAAAGGTCGCTGCATATTTCCAGCCTGAGAAGTTCTCAACTGCCAGATTAATAAAAACTGCAGCCACACCAGTGCCTACAAGAAAACACAATATTCAAACAAACAATTGCAAAGCCATCGACCTAACATGCTAACAAAGAACCAAAAAAAGATTCAAGTTATGAGCAAGCCTAAGCGCAAAGACAAATGGCATTTAGCAGGGAGAACACAGTTGAATGAAATTTTCAAACTTGTAACTTCCAATTTAAATTTTTTAAGTGGCTTAAAAAGGATTTGATTCAGACAGAGAAGACACCTAATAATCAAGGTTAAAGAAACCTTGAAGCCACCGTAAATTCTGTTAGGACCCATTTAGTCCCATATTGCCAAATAGAGAGTCAATACGGGTTTACAGAAGATTTAGATTGCCTCCGTCTAACAACTAGCTTTTAGGGATAAGTTCTCCCAGGTCTCTTACAAATGGTATCAAAGGCAACTCCACCTACCCAGTAGCAAGCGAGCAACATGGGTTATGATGCCAGCAAGTGTTCGTCGGGAAGTTGTAAATTGAAAAGACTAACACCCGGATTGCAGTGTTCGACTGTAACTAGATTAGTGCAAAGCCCAATAGTGTGGGGGCCCAAACTGCGCAACCTTGGTGGTAAATAAAGGTGTATTTAGTCCCATTTTGATTAAATGAGCATCTCCAACAGCTTCCCTAAAACTTTCTCTAAAATGAGGAAGCAAAAGTCATATTCTCCAAATTATTTTTGCTCCAACTCTAACAGCTTCCTCATTTTGAAGAATCCTGCATTTATTACAATAATAAAAATATTTTACATCTTTGACATGAACTTTAACAATAAAGATTTAGATATGAACTTTTTGTTTTTTGCCCCCTCATTTTATAGTGTTGAGTTGTTTTTTTAGTAGTTGGAGACTTGAAGAACGTGAAATATTTATAACAAAGCTCTTTCCAAAAATTTAAAGAATACTACAGATTTGGAGAAGGCTCCCCTTTTTTTCTCCTCCATCCCTAAAATAGGGGAATGAGATGGGAATCTGTTGGACAAAAAAAACCTAAAATTCTCCAAAAGTGAGAATACCAATAAAATGGGGAAGCTGTTGGAGATGCTCTAAGAGATGTGCACCTCAAATAGCTAGCTTGTATTACGTGTTCCCCTAGGTTTAAATTGTTTGAGAACCAAGCATTTTCCTCCAACAACACTTTTGATAGATACCTAAAATTTCAAAAAAAATAAATCTCTACAAAGACGAGAGAATTGTTCACTAACCAATTCCTATCAACAACGAGAAGAACCATTTCACGACCACATGATACCAAACAAAAAGCTTTCCTCTCCTCGCCTGCACAAGAGACCGAAAAAAAACCATCACCAACAGATCCACGAACCCTGGACTCACAAAACCATCAAATTTCCTCCACCTGCGCTTCTCGATAGGCGTGATTCTCAATAATCTCATAATCAAGGCTCTCCGCTCCGCCGCCGGCGAGGATCCTCTGGTTGATCTCCTCCTCCTGCGCCTCCGCGTCCTCGGCGCTCGGCAAACGAGACCACGCCAGCTTCGCCGTTTCGATCATGGCGGCGATCTGTATTGGATTTAGGGCACGGAATTGGGGATTTGAGATCGGATCGATGAGAGGGAGTGAAATTTGGGGGTGAAAGATCGGAGTTTTCGACTGTTGGAAGAAAATTGCGTAGGTGGGTGAGTCCACAGGAAGGAGAGTGGAGAGGGGAAAAAAGTGGGGACCTGAGAATTGCTATTGAGTTCAATTTGATAAGGGGAGTTTGTTTCAAATCCTAGGATATAGATTTCAGTATGTATTTGAAATCAATAGTTGTTTTTATTATGGGTCGAGATTTTTAAAATGTTGTTTATTTTATTAATATTTTAAGATTTTGAATACTATAATTTGTAATATTTTATTTGTTTCAAGTTCAAATTGTAGCATTATCAAATGCCAAAAATTTGTAATATGATGAATATGCTATCTTGATGAGGTTACCTCCCACAAAAAAAACAAAATTGGGATTTGTCAAATCCTCTCAAATTGAGAGGTAAGCACACCTATTTATGGGATTTGTCAAAATCTTCTCCAATTAATAGGATTTGGAAAATTCTAAAAATTAGGCACTTTTTATACTTTTGGGATTCAATATTCCAAAAATTTTCTTAAAACAAACATCATATATGGAATCCCAAAATACAAAAAAAAACTCACTTTTTGATCCCAAAACTTGCAATCATTACCAAATGCCAAATTTTTTGGTGAAACAAACACCCACTAATTAAAGGGTGTTTAAAGTAAGTCCTCACCTCTTTGGGGGTCTTTTTGACATACCACCATTAATCATTTACTCTCCTTTATTTAATTAATTATTATTACTATCATGTAACATCTTTATGATTCCATAATTTAACCACTAGAACATTGTCATTTTTCTCTCCTTCAACAATCATTACAACGGTTATTTTTCCACATCTAGTTTTATTAAACAGTAAGTCAATTTTTTTTTTTTTTTTTTTTTTGCATTTTCTCCTATAAAAATCTAGTCCTATCAAAATCTAATATTGTTTTCAGAATGAAATGAAAAGGATAACCCTTATACGTGTGTTGGTGGAAGAAAAAGTGCTATTAGATATATTAATGGATTACTTAGGGGACGTTTGGTTTATTGCAAAATAATTGCAGCTAATATTGCAACAACAAATGTTGCATGCAGCATTTGTCGTAAGAAATCAACTTCAAATTCATTGTTTGGATACATGCAATTATATTGTCCGAAATGGATTTTCAAATGCGACTTTAGTATTTGGTTGAAAATAGTCAGTCAAAACCTATAAAATTTTACCATATAAGGAAAGTGTGCTATGGATGGTTTATTTGTTTGGATTTAAAAAGATTTTTTGACGAGGTGGATTTATTTTTATTTTTTAATTCTCTTTTTTCAAATTGCAGATTTTCTTCCTATCAAATAAGGCGTAATATTAGTTGCAAGTTTTTCCTACAAAATGTAAACCCATTTAACTTTCTTCTTAGAGAAACTAACCATATGTAATTTAATAAGGGTTTATTTCACATAAGCCACATAAACAATGGTGGTGTTGCAAATAACCTTCATGTACTTGTTTATCTCACATAACCCCTCTGAACTTTAAGGTGTCCCACAAAACCCCTAAGAACTTTGAACTTTCCTCACAATACCCCTAAATACAATTTGCTAATAGCTAAAAATTTCATTAAGAGGAAAAAATGCAAAATTTAAGATAGGGTGCATATTTGTATGTACATGACAAATGACAATATTTATAATTTTTCTCTCATGAAAATTTTAGTTATTTTCAAATTACATGTAAGAGGTCCAGTGTGAAAACTTCAAAGTGTAGCGGTGTTCTGTGGGATACCCCAAGTTCAGGAAAAGATTATGTGAGATATTCAAAATTCAAAAAGGTTACATGCAAGACCCCTATAGCTAAGGGGTTTATGTGAAATTAACCCATTTGGAAATTAAAGGGCTAATATGAAGAGTAAGTTGGTTGATGATGTGTCCCTCCATGGTGATGATCAATGTGTCACTAATGTAACATACATCTAGATCACTACAATATGCATCATCAATATAATTTGTATCATAATTAATGGTTTGGGTGTATGCTACATGACAAGCAAGGATTCAAATCATCTCCAATTTGGTGGTGTTATGTGATCAAATAACCTAAGTGTTAATCATCACCCACGAGTCAACATGAGTCCCATGTTAACTAATACTTAAATCGACTTTATCCTAGCAAGGACGACTCGAGCAGCATGCGTACAACCCTTCCTGAGAAGGGTCGAGCAGAGAGGCATTCTCACTCGAACTCCTCATTTGAGTCACCCTCGCTTGTTTGCTCTACAAAGTCAGGTCGACATCTTTTGAGGCCGACTAAAAATGTGGTACTTATCGACTCTCTCATACCCGAGTCAAGAGGCATCCTTGGTCGGCCCACTCACATAGCTGAGTCAAGAGTCGGTTTGTCCTCGAAATTCTCGCTGACAGCCATCCCATTAGCATTAGTCAGCATCATCATTGCACCGGCCATGAAAATCTCCATGACTCATCGCCCATCTTCAGCATCATGCCTCCTCAATCGCCATCGCATCAAACTCATAGGTGACTCATCTCATCTACAGTTGACACCTGTGGAATATCTACCGACTTAGTTGTCTGCCTAGGCTAGGCCAAAGTTTCATATTCACCCTTCTTAGTTGGGTCTATATAGGCTCACTGCCTCCTAGCTAAGGTAAATCATCTCTGACTAAATAGAGTAATCTCTTACTGTATAATGCAATTTCTGAACACTTAGAACTTGTTCAGCTTATTGACCCCCTTCTCTTCTCAAGCTAAATACTAACTTAATCATTGGAGGGATCACCAGAGAACCCAACTCCAGTCCTTCAACGCTTTGTGTTTTGGTAGGTGTCTCGTCCTATTAGGGAATCGCCAACCAAAGGGAACGAAGGGACCCTCATCATCTTCGTTGTCAAACATTAACCATGCCGTTGTTCGAGATTAGCCCCTAATTCCACTTTGAGGGCTCAAGCATCAACATTGGCACCTATCGTGGGGCCTCTTCATCTCTTCTTGAGGAAATGGGCGATCCCTGTATCCAGACCTTGGAATTAGAAGCTGTCATCACCATGTGAGCGCTACAACAGTCAAGGAATTCTACCCGAAGATGAATGAAGAGTAAGAGCAAAGACACTAGGTTTGCCACAAAGTACAAAACATTTTAGAGGGTACCTATGAAAAATATAATCAAATTAAGACACTTCCATAAATAAGAGATATTTTTGTGCCATGTACTAATCTGTATGCAATCTTCGCCACTTGATCTTCATCGACTTGATAATATAGACAAAAGACATTAGCATCATTCTCATGAATAAACCCAAGGCACGTACCTTAAGAACTTACTATCGTTTGAGTAAACCTAATGCGTCGAATTTGACACATAAGACCTTTGTACCGATTCGGGATAAAACCATGACACATCATTGTAGGCTGTCTAAAAATCACAACAGATAGCTAATCCCCATCAAACACCAATGATAGAAGTTACAATCTGACGACTTCTAGAATGTTATAATTTGAAGACTTTCACGTAGATCGAGGAAGGTTATAATCTGACGACCTTCACAACAACTAATGAAAGCTCTAATTCAACAGCCTTCACAATCAACATCGGGAGTTACAATCTGATGACTCTCATATTTTCAAGGAGCCAAGACGAAGGTTACAAGGTGACGATCTTTGCAACGCTCTAGCAAAAGAGACTACAAATTGACGGTCTCTTCATATTAAAACACAGATATCTCTCAAACCGTAAGGAATTTGGCAAAACCGACGGAGCAAACCGAACCCTATGGGGTAGGTTTTGTCGGCTCCGTCTCGTCGAGATAGCCGATTTTCATATATAATTCGTCTAATTCTGACTTACGGTTTGAAAGTTATGACCTGTTCTTCGCAGCAAGTTATGTTTTGAAGTCCGTCTGCAAGACTGGACTTCGTCAGAACATCAGACTTAGCCTAAAGCTCACCGAGCCCACCTAAGGCTGACCTCTGCATCCAAGATTCAAAACGCAGAGGTCGTTCCCGCGTTCTAAACTCAAAACGCAGAGGTCGTGGCTGCGTTCCAGATCCAAAACGCAGAGGTCGTGGCTGCGTTCCAAACTCGAAACGCAGAGGTCGTGGCTGCGTTCCAGATTCAAAACGCAGAGGCCGTAGCTGCGTTCCAAACTCGAAACGCAGAGTTCATGCAGAACCCAACTCTGCGTTTCTGCGTTCCAACTCTGCGTCTCAGGTCCAAAACGCAGAGTTCATCTCTGCATCCCAACTCTGCGTTTTAGATTTACAACGCATCACGGCCTATGCGTTCAGCCACCCAAAATAGGCCCAACTCTGCGTTTTTAGTCTAAAACGCAGAGTTCGGGCCCAGAACGCCATTTTCGGCGTTTGACTCGTTCAAACACGAACCGAACAGTTCCAGGAACCGTTTTCCCCCCACGATTTGAGGGATTTCCACCCCACTTAGGAGCGGATTAAGGGGGAAGTT